AATCAATGTGGATTATAAACCTGTGCGAAATTCACTATATGATATGCACATGGCTAATTGGTTACGGTACTTCTCAATGGAGCAGATTTTGCTGGTGAATGGAGACGTCTTTCGTGGGAATCCAATAAATGAGGTGGGAAATTGTTGCTTGTTATAAGTCGCCGTTTGATCAAGCGACTAATTGAATCGAAAAAAAGAATGGATTGAATGAGTCGAATGAATGAATGAAGGGAAATGAATAGCAGGATGAATCAATCAATCAATAATTGATAAATTTTTTGCAATTTAGCTTCGTCGAGTGGAAACCTTTCTGAACCTATCACATTCAATAACTAACAATCAGCTGATATTCAACGAACGCAAGGGATTTTTCTGTTTTCTGCGAACTCCAACATCTCGTGTGCGATGTCTCGGTAACTCTAAAGGACGACCACATCGAGAAATTTCTGATAAGGTCATTGCCAAGTTACGCGCTAATCTCAAAGAACACAATATGCGATTTTTCGCTCTTGTCAATAGAATGTTTGCTTGGTGATAATTCATGCTTTACTCTGTTTAATTACGTTTTCAATATTCTATTGAGTTTTTCAGAATTTTCATGTTTCTCAGGTGGATTTTTATCATTTTTACGGGTATTTAAAGAACTATATATACTTAATTTCTATGTTATTAAGTTGAGTATAAACATTGCCTTTCCCTTTTCTTTTTAAACTACACAAATGTAACAAATGAATTGAATTGTTTACTTTTTGTATTGTTATGGACTTCGCAAGATCCAAATTCCTGTCTAACAGAGTTATTTATAGAGTCAGGTGTACCCTAGTAATGTAAGGTGGGCTAGATAGTTTTTGTAAATGGGAGATGCATTCTCCAATTGAGAAAGGGAGGTCATAACTCTGATTGCAGAAGAATTGAACGAAGAAAGGATATGAAAAGGAGTAAATCATTTGTGGAAAAGAATGAAATTTACTCTTGTAAGAGAGTATTCTATTATATTCATTAGCTCTCCCTGGTATGTGCAGACAATAAAGGACTAATAATCAAATCACAATAAGGTGATAGCAGAGATTATTCGAAAACAAATCGTTTTTTTTTA